CGAGCAAAGATTAGCATAACCAATGTCCCTAACATGTGCAGATTGATTTTTAAACGTTTTATATTTTTTCTTCTTCACAATAACGTTTAGATATTTAAATGGAGTAAAACGCCAATAACAAAGTGAACTACCTTAAAAATCCATAGTAGTCAGTTCTTACGGCCGTCATCACTTTCTCTGACAAGCGGATGCGATGACACCCGTTTTCCGGTTTGGTCACGTGACACTCGACATAAATGTCACCGGGGTTAAGGCCACGACTACCACACTCCGGAGGAGCAGACACCAGAGGACACCAAGAGGCAGACAGCAGAGGTGGGTTCAAAATGTAAATTTTTATTAAGTTTAAAAAGGGATAAAAGCAGGGGCAGGCAATGACTCTTCTCGTCGTAAGACTCGTCGCATAAGCTCGTGAGACAGACAGTGACTTCCCTTCGTCGTCAGACTCATTGCATAAGCTCGTGAGACAGACAGTGACTTCTCTTCATCGTAAGACTCAATCGCATAAGCTCGAGGGACAGGCAGTGACTTCTCTTCATCGTCAGACTCGTTGCATTGACTCGTGAGACAGACAGTGACTTCCCTTCGTCGTAAGACTCGTTGCATAAGCTCGTGAGACAGGCAGTGACTTCTCTTCGTCGTCAGACTCGTCGCATAAACTCGGGAGACACACAGTGACTTCTCTTCATCGTCAGACTCGTCGCATAAGCTCGTGGGACAGACAGTGACTTCTCTTCATTGTCAGACTCGTCGCATAAGCTCGTGGGACACACAGTGACTTCTCTTCATCGTCAGACTCGTCGCATAAGCTCGAGGGACAGGCAGTGACTTCTCTTTATCGTCAGACTCGTCGCATAAGCTCGAGGGACAGGCAGTGACTTCTCTTCATCGTCAGACTCGTTGCATAAGCTCGTGAGACAGGCAGTGACTTCTCTTCGTCGTCAGACTCGTCGCATAAACTCGGGAGACACACAGTGACTTCTCTTCATCGTCAGACTCGTCGCATAAGCTCGTGGGACAGACAGTGACTTCTCTTCGTCGTCAGACTCGTCGCATAAGCTCGTGGGACACACAGTGACTTCTCTTCATCGTCAGACTCGTCGCATAAGCTCGAGGGACAGGCAGTGACTTCTCTTCATCGTCAGACTCGTCGCATAAGCTCGAGGGACAGGCAGTGACTTCTCTTCATCGTCAGACTCGTCGCATAAGCTCGAGGGACAGACAGTGACTTCTCTTCATCGTCAGACTCGTCGCATAAGCTCGTGGGACAGACAGTGACTTCTCTTCATCGTCAGACTCGTCGCATAAGCTTGTGGGACAGGCAGTGACTTCTCTTCATCGTCAGACTCGTCGCATAAGCTCGTGAGACAGGCAGTGACTTCTCTTCATCGTCAGACTCGTCGCATAAGCTTGTGAGACAGGCAGTGACTTCTCTTCATCGTCAGACTCGTCGCATAAGCTTGTGGGACAGGCAGTGACTTCTCTTCGTCCTGTAAGGAACAGACAATTTGATGGTGAGACGGTCGGTGGTAAGGGAAACAGAAACCGTGTACTTTACCAGCCTTCGCTCTCGCTCTATGGAGGATAGGATGGCATCGTTGGGAGAAATAGTGGGACTGGACCTTCTTTGGTGTGGAAAACAGTGCTCGTGGACGGTGGCGATAGAGGTGCGTTGAGCTGTTCTCCTCCGCACCATCCACACGATCTCGGAAACCTGGACACAGAGGACTGGATAACAGCAGGGGGAAATACTCAGTCCAGCAGCTGATATACTTCAGCACAGACAGGAGAACAGATCAGTTTGAAAGAATCTTAAGGTTATGGGTCCATCTCATCCATCAGAGACTCAGGGAGAACACAGTTGTTTGATCTCACCACACTTGTGCATAAATCACTCTTGGAAATCTTCACACGTGTTTGTTTCACTCTTTCAGACACTGCAACTCACTCTATCATCACAGCGATTAATCAACTCGTCTCTCTTCTCTTCATAGGATGGATGATCCAAGAACTAACGATCTCAGAAAATAAACACGGATTCAGCGATCTGCCCAACCCTCACAATTACTGTTCTTCACTCTGTCAACAGGATGACACACACTGCCCACAAACACAGTTTAGTCGTACACTGGTGATGGCAAATCTTTACAAGTAGTTTTCTCCAAAAGTGAATCCTAAAAGGGTGTACTTAACTTTTCTCCAGTGAATCACACGAATCCTAGAGCGGCTTTCACTCGTATTTCTGCCAGTCTTTCTCACTCTTCCCCTAGGGAATTTTCTCCACTTAGTTCGTTGCATTGCTGTTCATGATCTTCTTTAAAAGGTTCACTTAATGAGCATGCCAGATCCAGCCTCAGACCTCAACTTTCCCACCGCCGCTCACCGTCACTGCCATACTCTGCTCGAGCACTCGTGTGGAGCTTTCCTGCAAACACCACCATCTCCATGCTTCAAGCCTCTCTCTTTATACTAGCTTTTTCCCAGGCATGTGTTTCAATGAAGCGCTACTCATTGGCTGAAGCCGGCGCTCATTATAGTCAGAGCCCGGTGTTACACCGGCATCTCTTCCCACTGGAAATGAGTCAATATTTTTTTGGTTCCTAGCATGTTCACCAGGTGACATCAAGCCTATTGGGGCCTTATAGGTCAGCACTGGCCAGTTGGGTTTTAACTTTTTATAAATAGCAGCATAACACTTGGTTCAACGTCAGAATGATATTCAGTTCTACATTATTGAATCAAGGAAATACCAACCAAAGAAACATGAGAAAATCAGTGACTGTCAACAAGTTTAACATTAGTGTCAGATGTTTATCCAGAACGGAAAGCTTTTTCTTTATCGAAGCCAAAACATGTTTAACTTTGCCTTACAGTCAACCACACAAAAATATGAGGAACTGATAGTGTTTGACCGGCAGATTGCCAGTGTGCTGTTTACATACATTTAGCAGAACTTTTACTAAAGCCACTTTATAAATGAGGAAAACAACAAAAGCAATCAAAATACTGTGAAGTCCCATTTTGTCCAGCACAGTACAAGTAAGTTTGTTGATTTTTTAAATACAAAAGTAAATAAAAATATTGTTGTCAAAAAAAAAAAAAGATGCATCTTTGCGCTGCTTCTTGAACATATCCAAAGGCTCGGCTGCTCGGGTTATTTCAATTCAAGAGAAGCAACTCATTCATCAAAGAAACAATGGAAAATACAGTTTCTACAGGCCGTGATACACCTTTACACCAGATCTAAAATCCCCTACAGCTTTATTTGGGCGTTGGTTGATCTTTTGAGTAATCTTGTATTGAACGTTCCTCATTGTCATTATCAGTGACGGCGGGTCGTGTCGTGTGTGTATTCTCAGATGATAGGTTATCTAGTGTTTGCAGCGAGGGAAGCAGAGGCCGGGAGACTCTTCATCATCAGGACTGAGGAAGATCTGCTCATCGTGAGGACAGGCGTTGTCCGACTGTGCCTCCGTTTACTGCTTCTCTTTGTCTTTATTCAGTTATATGTTTTTGTAAACGTCTTTTATGAATCACCATTTTGTATTATTTGCTGTGTATGTGTTTGTTTGTTTTGTTTTTACTAAAGGGATGTATCGACATCTTAATCCGGGCACTGACACGTTTGCTCCCTAAAAGTCCCACAATGCACTGTGAAAACCCAGTATTGATGCTCGCTAAGTTCACTTAACAGAAGATCTTTAGCTCATAACACATAATGACATGTGATAAAGACTATTTATTTACGGCTGAAATGTTGCATATATACGGTATATAACAAGCAAAGTATCTATCATAATGTGCCTTAAAATCATCAAAACACAAGGTGTGTGTTTTAGGTGACGGATCAACTATCCACAGAACAGTGTACAAATACTTATTTAGTTGATGCAACAAAATCATAAACATCATAAAGCAAAATTAGTCTTGACAGAAGTTAAAACACAAATCAGTAGACTAAAAAAAATATGAATAAAGGTAGGTTATTAAAATATGAACTATAGCCTACATAGAAACACACCATCTCAAATGTATATTTTTATATAAACAACCAAATAAAAGTAGAAGCTCTTTTTGTAGATGAACTGCATGTTTACTCTGAGATTTTGTCATGTTGACTGTTGGAGTTTCTTCCTCATTATAAAAGCATGTTATGACTTGACAAACAATGCTAGTCTGTTACTATAAGTTTATACTGTCTGCCTTTTTTATTCATGTAAATTTGTATTTATTTCACTTTCAGTTATTATCATGTGATGATTTTTCAGATTTTTGAGACCATTAACTCTGTGTGTTTGCTTTGAAATTCCATCATGAAGAGAGATGGTAAACATATTATTTTAGCACTATATATTATAAAAATGTGGTAACTAGAAACAGAAATTTTAAATGCGTCACATCTGAGGAACTCAAATGATTTGACACCATAAACAGCGCTTTCATCAGTCATCCAGCAAGACTAACATTTTAACAAGCTCTGCATTACTGTATCCCATCAGTCAACATATAGTGGGATATATATACAGTATAGTCAACATTATGGCACACCACACCCAACTCAGATGGATAACTCACGAATTCAATTCAAAACTAAATCTAACTGGCTCCATCATCCACTGTAAAGTCCCAGTATTTCCCCTGTGTCTCTGAAGCCGGTTGAACCAGTTACACTACATGAGTTCACAGTTTGATATTAATTCTCCTTTTTTGTCCTTTAGTTTTAAACCTTGCTGCCAAAGGCTGTTAGAATGATATATGTGGTAGAGTATTGCTAATGTAACTATATTATATTCCAATAGCATACATAAACCTTCCTTTACACTTAGGCCTTGACTTACCAAACTCATCTCCGTAGTCTATTGAGGATTATATCTTCTAACAGAAGCATATTTTTAATCGATTAAAAATATCATATTTTTACATTTTTAATCAGAATTATCCTTTAATATTAAAAGACACCCAGAGCAGGAACTGAACACACACCCCTCCCGAGTGAATGTGTTCAGCTTTTGAGGAAACACACACACAGAAACTCACACACAACACTCGCTTTCCGTCAGACACCGGCTGTGCTGTATGTTTTGAGGTACGTTCTTACAATTTCAGATGTCAAACTTGAATAAGAATGTGTCTATTAAATAATGTTTTTTTCTATTTACAAACTTTTTTCCTGCAAGGGATTCATGTTGGATATAAATATACACACATAGCAAGCATGAACTTGTTGAAGCTCAACTGGTAGAAAGGAATGCCTATCAAATGTCAAACTTAAAACCTCAGTCAGTCACTTCGTAAAATAATTTGAGATCGCTGCGTTCTTCTCTGAATCTGCAAGACTGTAACAGATTGTGAGGGTTTTTATCCACAGATGAAACTGAAGCGTCCAGAGCTCAGATTACTGTTCACATCGTCAGCAAGTGGAGACTCAAACCCTGCCATGTCAATGCATTGGTTAAAACTGATTAGCGGTGTTAAAGGCAATCATTGTTATAGCTTTAGAATAATAAATTGTGGTCATAAACACTGCTATATGTGTGTGTGTCTGCATATAGTCCTCAAATACACACATCTATTTGGGTCTTAGTATCAGTTCTCCATCATTTAAGGAAGTGAGTGATGCAGCTGAGGGATCGTGAATGACTTTGGACATCTACGGCTCGGTCTATTTCATATGAACTTCTGCTAAAGCAGATCATCTGTGCAACGCAAAAAATAAAATACACTCTTTTAGCAATGCAAAGGTCAAGGCCTCACACACGTTCTGCTAAATGTTCGCTGAAAGCAGTGTCGGTTCATGCAGAGAAGGTTGAACACACTAAAAAATACAATAAAATAAAACCTTTTTTTTCGAGCTAAATGTACATTCAGTAATTGCATAATGCATTGATGCACTAAATGTGATACATCTAGCTTAATCTAGCAAAAGTAAAAGCCAACAGGTTAAACTGGTGTAATACACGTGTGATGTCTCGCAGGAGCTGAAGGATGCATCTGGTGGTTTATTTCCTGATGATATTAACATACACACATGCAGATTATCCTGCGTTTAAAGCTCTTCTGTCAGAGAAGGGGCTCAGAAATGGTGAGTTTTACACTATATTAATCTGATATTACTTTTGATAATGTTCTTTATTATGAGTTTCAGTTTGACACGACTACTGTCCGTCAGGGAAATGCTCAGTGATTGTGTTCATTAATATATTATACATGTATACACTGATTCCTTCATATATAACATATTCCCTCCAAAATGAAAATATAACTATGTAAAAAAGGAAAACTTATTTCATGTCACCAAAAGAGAATGACATCCGTGAATGTTAATCATAAAGGTTAGGATCTAAACAAGTGTTGAGAACTAGATTTAAAGGCACAATATGTAAGACTTTTGTATTACAATATCCCAAAGTCACTAGAGCAATGCTATATTTTGTTGACTTGTGTGCTTTCATTATCCCAAATGTTTCCAATAATGTTCAAATCCAGACAAATCTGTGTTATACAGCTCAACACGGTCAGTCTTATAGTTTGAATCTCTTGTTTTGTTTAGAGTAACATGTTTGAACCCACAAAATAAATCAGAAAAAAAAACTATTTTATCAAATGGCTAACACAGCATAAACAAAGCTTTATTTGTAGACCTATTGGACCCTAGTCTAAAGTTTGACCATATATGTATATTATATGTAACTAGATCATACTGCCATAAACCCAGTGCATTATGGGTATGAACGTTTTGGCAAAATGACCCTCTTTTATAAAGGAGAAAAAAGCCTCTGTTTTATCTAGTCATGTAACAGATGTTTTATAAATAAATATAATCACCTTTCTAATGCACAGGCAGCTAAGCTAATTTATTGAAAACTCATGTGCTTCTGTACATGTGTTCAGTGTCTCAGATGCTGTCTGTCCAAATACAAAGCAAACTGAAGAGCGCTGAACTCCCAGAGGTCCGGGGTGGGGTGGACATCAAGATCGGCACTGTCAGTTATGTCTTATCAAAGTCAGTTCCCTAACAAACTAAACAAATTAAATAGTTAAAATGTTCTTAATTTTCACACATACTACATGCATTTATTCAATTCCATAAATGTTGAAGTGTGTGTGTGTTTCCAGCATGCGGGTGGTGCAGTGCAGCATGCCAGACCCAACATTGGTGTTTGTGGAGGGGACAGGTGTATCTGTGGAGGTCACTCAACTCACACTCACCATCAATGGCAGATGGGCAACAAAGTTCGGCATAATGTAAGTGCCCCAGTGAACCATGGGAAGGAGATAGCAATCCAAGTTTCACCTGACCTGATCTTGAAAACAAATCACATTTTCCTTAAACCTTACTACACAATCTCATGATCTTAGTTGATCAGAAGGGCCATGCACATACTGATGCTCTTTGAGTTTTAAGTCAAATAAACCCCAACAAGAGGACCCATCGGGTGGCCACGGTGAAGAGGACCTCGAGCTGGACAGAACCAGCGGTGAAGAGGACCTCGAGCTGGACAGAACCTGCGGTGAAGAGGACCTCGAGCTGGACAGAACCAGCGGTGAAGAGGACCTCGAGCTGGACAGAACCAGCGGTGAAGAGGACCTCGAGCTGGACAGAACCAGCGGTGAAGAGGACCTCGAGCTGGACAGAACCAGCGGTGAAGAGGACCTCGAGCTGGACAGAACCAGCGGTGAAGAGGACCTCGAGCTGGACAGAACCAGCGGTGAAGAGGACCTCGAGCTACACAGAACCAGCGGTGAAGAGGGCCTCGAGCTGGACAGAACCAGCGGTGAAGAGGACCTCGAGCTGGACAGAACCAGCGGTGAAGAGGACTCGAGCTGGACAGAACCAACGGTGAAGAGGACCTCGAGCTGGACAGAACCAGCGGTGAAGAGGACCTCGAGCTGGACAGAACCAGCGGTGAAGAGGAGCTCGAGCTGGACAGAACCAGCGGTGAAGAGGAGCTCGGGCTGGACAGAACCAGCGGTGAAGAGGACCTCGGGCTGCACAGAACCAGCGGTGAAGAGGACCTCGAGCTGGACAGAACCAGCGGTGAAGAGGACCTCGAGCTGCACAGAACCAGCGGTGAAGAGGACCTCGAGCTGGACAGAACCAGCGGTGAAGAGGACCTCGAGCTGGACAGAAACAGCGGTGAAGAGGGCCTCGAGCTGGACAGAAACAGCGGTGAAGAGGACCTCGAGCTGGACAGAACCAGCGGTGAAGAGGGCCTCGAGCTGGACAGAACCAGCGGTGAAGAGGACCTCGAGCTGGACAGAACCAGCGGTGAAGAGGACCTCGAGCTGGACAGAACCAGCGGTGAAGAGGAGCTCGAGCTGGACAGAACCAGCGGTGAAGAGGGCCTCGAGCTGGACAGAACCAGCGGTGAAGAGGACCTCGAGCTGGACAGAACCAGCGGTGAAGAGGACCTCGGGCTGCACAGAACCAGCGGTGAAGAGGACCTCGAGCTGGACAGAACCAGCGGTGAAGAGGACCTCGGGCTGGACAGAACCAGCGGTGAAGAGGACTCGGGCTGGACAGAACCAGCGGTGAAGAGGACCTCGAGCTGGACAGAACCAGCGGTGAAGAGGACCTCGAGCTGGACAGAACCAGCGGTGAAGAGGACCTGGAGCTGGACAGAACCAGCGGTGAAGAGGGCCTCGGGCTGGACAGAACCAGCGGTGAAGAGGACCTCGAGCTGCACAGAACCAGCGGTGAAGAGGACCTCGAGCTGGACAGAACCAGCGGTGAAGAGGACCTCGAGCTGCACAGAACCAGCGGTGAAGAGGACCTCGAGCTGGACAGAACCAGCGGTGAAGAGGACCTCGAGCTGCACAGAACCAGCGGTGAAGAGGACCTCGAGCTGGACAGAACCAGCGGTGAAGAGGACCTCGAGCTGGACAGAACCAGCGGTGAAGAGGACCTCGGGCTGGACAGAACCAGCGGTGAAGAGGACCTCGAGCTGGACAGAACCAGCGGTGAAGAGGACCTCGAGCTGGACAGAACCAGCGGTGAAGAGGACCTCGAGCTGGACAGAACCAGCGGTGAAGAGGACCTCGAGCTGGACAGAACCAGCGGTGAAGAGGACCTCGAGCTGGACAGAACCAGCGGTGAAGAGGACCTCGAGCTGGACAGAAACAGCGGTGAAGAGGACCTCGAGCTGGACAGAACCAGCGGTGAAGAGGACCTCGAGCTGGACAGAACCAGCGGTGAAGAGGACCTCGAGCTGGACAGAACCAGCGGTGAAGAGGGCCTCGAGCTGGACAGAACCAGCGGTGAAGAGGACCTCGAGCTGGACAGAACCAGCGGTGAAGAGGACCTCGAGCTGGACAGAACCAGCGGTGAAGAGGACCTCGAGCTGGACAGAACCAGCGGTGAAGAGGGCCTCGAGCTGGACAGAACCAGCGGTGAAGAGGACCTCGAGCTGCACAGAACCAGCGGTGAAGAGGACCTCGAGCTGGACAGAACCAGCGGTGAAGAGGACCTCGAGCTGCACAGAACCAGCGGTGAAGAGGACCTCGAGCTGGACAGAACCAGCGGTGAAGAGGACCTCGAGCTGGACAGAAACAGCGGTGAAGAGGGCCTCGAGCTGGACAGAACCAGCGGTGAAGAGGGCCTCGAGCTGGACAGAACCAGCGGTGAAGAGGACCTCGAGCTGGACAGAACCAGCGGTGAAGAGGACCTCGAGCTGGACAGAACCAGCGGTGAAGAGGGCTTAGAACTCACGGCCTCTGGCTGGACGGTCTCTGGCTATGTGAACTTTCTCAGAAAGAATGGCTTCCTATTCGTGGGTGTCGATGATTCCAACGGTGAATGGCGCCCCCTTATGTAACAACAACCACTCAACAAAAGCCTTGAAGTTCTCTCGAAGAAACACAGTTTAACTAACGTTACATCAACGACAGTATCCATATACAACGACCGACTGAACTGAAACTGAAGCTCAACCAAACGGAACAGAGGCAAACTAAGGCTATGTTTACACGGAAACGATTCTGAAGAGAAAATGCGAAAGTGGCGTTGCGTCATCACTTTTTATTCTGCGTTTAGACAAGCTTTTTGGGGGTGAAATCCACATGCAGATGGTGACGAAAAAGTCTGTGAAATTCAATGTAGTAGGCACTCCAGGTGGCTAAGAGTGCATACTACAACAACACCAAGCCCGCGCGCCTGCGTACAACCTTCACTGTCAAGCAGACTTTTCTGTTTTTACTGTTTACACGGGAACGGGACAGTGGAGCGTTTTTCAGATTTCCACTCTGGAGGGTAGTTTCACTTTTATGCGTTTTCAAGCCCCAAAAACGCCGTCGCCATGTAAACGAAAGGCACATCCGAAAAAATATTTTTACGTTTTCACCCCGAAATCGTTCTCGTGACAAGGCCTAAATACAGAGACTGATGAACAATAACGAGGTGAAGACAGGTGTACACAGATAATCATGACGAGAAACAGGCTGGTAAGTGAGGGAGTGAATTCAGGTGTGGAGTAAAGGAGGATTCTGGGTAGTGTAGTGAAGACAAAGACAGACTGGTGCAGACGATGAATGTGACCAGAATTGTTTGATTAACATTACTGAAACAGACAGTCCGACTTACTGTTCGCACGGATGTAATATAATGTTACACATAAGATGTTTTCCCCAACAGTTAAACGTTCACTACGACATAACAGATGATGTTTGCATGAATACTTGCCAGGACAGATATTTTGAAATACTGTAATTCGATGTATGTGTATATCGGGATTGCGCACTGTCAGTCAGCGGGAGTGCTTTTTACATAAGCATATTTATTTGAAAATAATTTTCATTGGATCAGACTTATGCTATCGAGAAACTACAATGAATCGCAAAGTTGGTATGCTGCACTTTACAACAATACCGAACTTGGGCTGAGAGGAGGATATTTATATATATATATATATATATATATATATATATATATATATATATATATATATATATATATATATATATATATATACGTATATAAGCTGGGGCAATTTGCCAAAGAGGAATGGAAAAGATCCCTCAAGATAGCCGACAAGCATCACATCAAAGTAAAATGTTTTAAATAAGACATTTGTAATGTAATGGAGTTGATTGTTTATAAGAAATGTAATATGATTGTCTTTTGTTCTATGATTGCAGCCATGACAGCGGCTCATTTGATCTGACTGTGAACAATATCGACATCTACACTGTCCTGCAGTTAGGAGATGATGCTGGCCGTGTCTCCATCGCCACTGTTCAGTGTAGTGCTGGTGTAGGAGGTGTGGATATGAACTTCCATGGAGGAGCTAGGTGAGGCCAGTGTTAACAAAGCATAAACAACTGATGATTCCTGAAGATACACACAACCACTGTGAATATCTCTTATGACTACCACTAATGGAGCATTTCTATTCTTTCTATTGTGCAGCATTATTTTCCAGCCATTTGTAAGTGCCTTTAGTGGACATATAAAAGACAAGATACGTGAGCAGGTTTGTCATTTTTTCAAAACAAATTAGCCAACATTATTATCCGCTACTGGCGATATTTCTCATTATTTCTTGGTTTGTCATTGTCATTCTTATTATTTTTTTTTTTTTAGATTTGCCCGGCAATTCAACAAGCAATAAATGGATTAGAGACGACTCTACAGGAACTACCTGGTACTGGCACAAAAAATTCTCAAAATTATATATTATATGTAGATCACATTGATTTATAGTTAAAAGAAGACATATTATCCATAAAGAAAACTATTTTTAGAACCAATATATATATTTTTTTTTTGCACTGTAGCATTTTTCCCCATAATCATTAAGATAAATGCAATTAATTATTATTAAAAAAATCATTAAAAAAGTCAAATTTCTTGAATTTGATGTGACCATTTTTGTGAGATTCGCCCTACTGTGGGATATTTGGGCCGTATTATTGAACTATTGCTGCTTTATGAGATTAATATTGTTGTCGTGATCTCCTCTTCATTTGATGATGCAAATTAAATGGTTTCTTTCTAGTTAACATACCTATGGGTCAGTATCTATATCTGAGCATCCCTCTCACATCCTCCCCGGCTGTGAAGGATCAAAGCTTTGAGTTAGATATTAAGGTAAGCATTTATAATAGTGATTAAAGCCAGGCATACACTGTGTGATTTCAGCATTTATTTAGTTAAATACCGTACCAACTCTCACTGTATGAGTAAATCACATTAGATGTAGCCAAAGCTCACGATCGTGAAGCTGGACTTAAAATATCCATTTCTTGTCGCCATGGTTTAACTTCTGTTTTCGGGCAGGCGCAGTGAAGGGAAAAGGCCAATCAGTTTAGGCCAATCAGTTTGTAGTTCAGCTTCAACTGTGCGATACCCTCACAAGGCGAGACCAACATCTCTAACATCTGTAATTAATCCGACCAGATCGCCTCTCGTTTCCCCCTATTAACTGCACGACAAAGCTGAAATTCGTCCAGACTCAAAAAAACTCAGGAATCGGCAAAATCGGAAATTGCACAGTGTATGCCCATCTTAACATTTTACTGCCGTAAATTAAACTAATTCAGTTATAACAGGGGTTTTCAATCCAGCTCCTGTATGGCCACTGTCCAGCTAATCAAGGTCTGCAGTATCAGACACTTCCAGACTGGTGTGATGGATCTAGATAGATAGACCACAATAAACAGTGCAAAACAATAAGCAGTCCAAAATGGAGTCCATATGGAGGTAAACAGTCCAGATGGGGGTAGAAATTGTCCAATTGTCTATTGTCCTCCCTGTCCTGATTAGGAGCTGTTGTTCAGTCTGATGGCCAGTGGGACGAAAGAGTTTTTAAGTCTGTTGGTGGAGCTGGCTGGGGGTGGTCTGCAGTCTGAGGTGGTGATGGACATGGTGGTGGCATTGGGGAGGCGATAGACATGGGGGTGTTAAGTCAGCTGTCGCTGTTTGTTTGAGCTGATGGATCAAACCTGTTAAAAAACAGGTTCAGCTGGTTTATTCTCCCAGCATCCCCTTCTCCTGCCATACCGCCCTTTTTCTTATAGACTGTGATGGTTTTCATGCCATCCCAGACCGTCCTCATGTTGTTGTGCTGCAGGTTCTGTTCTACTTTCCTTCTGTAGTCCTCCTTCGCCTCTCTCAGATGGATCATGAGTTCTCCCAGTACTGTTCTTCCTTGTGGGGCAGCTTACAAACTGGTGAAAGTCTGACAGTGTGGAATCCAGTGTAACGTGGTTGAAATCTCCAGAGATGGTGATGAATGCATCCGAATGTTGTGTTTGCAGTCTGCGATAGGCGGATGGACGTAAACAACGATGGCAATAGCGTGGGAAAACTCTCTAGGCATGTAGTACAGTCTGAGACCTACCGCTAACAACTTAATGTCTCTGTTGCTTTTGCCGCTGCGTCCATAATCCCGATCCGCTCTCACTGTAGTAAATCCAGGTGGATCCACATTAGAGTCCGGGGTGTTCTGGGTTAGCCAGGTTTCAGAGAGGCAAAGTACACTGCACTCCCTGAACATCCAGTCCATCCTCACAAGAGCGGCCAGCATGTCCGTCTTGTTGGTCAGACATTATTATCATTATCGACAGAACCGAGGGCTTGTACTTCCACCACTTAGCCCAGGGGTGCCCAATCCTGCTCCTGCGATCGACTGTCCTGCACAGTTCATCTCAAACACTAATCAAACACACCTGAAGTAGCCAATTAAGGTCTTTAGGATCACATTCAGGTGTGTTTGATTGGGGTTGGAGATGAACTGTGCAGGACAGTCGATCGCCAGGAGCAGGATTGGGCACCCCTGACTTAGCCGCTAGCTTAGCTTTCACCTTCACTCCGGCTCTGCAGCCTCGGTGCCTCTTCCTCAGCTCCTCAGGTATGTGGTGGAAAATGCCGGCTCGTCCCATTGTTTGGAGTGAAAGCAGCTTCTCCCTTGAATAAACAAGTTGTCCACCACTATGTTGTCCGTAGAAAGTCACAGTGTCCATAGGATATATAAAGTCTTACATAGCTAGTTTTATATAAAGAGTTAAAGAGTACTTTAACACACTTAAAGTATTAAACTGGATCAGTGCCCTGCTCGCGCTGGCGCTTAACACATTCTCCCCAGTGAAAGGTTATCCCATTTCTTCAGGATTCTCCCCAAATCTCCGATCTAAACTCTGCCGGAGAGTGGCCCTCCAGGAGCAGGATTGGCTGATCACTCATCTCTGAGCCTCTAATTTTATTAGGTTTCTCTTTTTGAGTATATTTAGAAGTCGAATAGATTTCCCGATTTGTAAACAGTGTTATAGATTTGATTTAATCGCTTTGTAATGTCCCAGACAGCAAACTGACATTGAATCAACGTGGAAACGACGTCTCTCATGACATTGAAACAACGTTGATTTTGCTCATCGAATTAACGTTGAACCAACGTCAGACGCTGCATTCTTCAAAGCTAAATGAAAATCGAAAATTGGTTTGCTTTCATAACGTTGAAACAACGCGTTGATTTCAAGTGGATTTTCCGTTAGTTTTGAAAGAATGACGCGTCTGACGTTGGTTCAACGTTAATTCGATGAGCAAAACAATGTCAGATCAACGTTGTTTCGATGTCATATTTCCACGTTGATTCAATGTCAGTTTGCTATCTGGGGTTTAACCTGCCCATGACGTTTGGTTGTTGTTCCTGTGACAGGGTGAGTTTTACAGCCGCAGTTCTCCGTCTGAACCGCCTTTCTCTGCGAGTGTGTTTGACGTGCCGTATGCAGAAAACTACATGCTTTCAATGGCGGCCTCTGAGTTCTCAGTAAACTCAGCAGCGTATGCATACCTCAGCTCTGGAGCTCTTCAGATCAACATCAGAGATGACATGGTGAGGACATTTACATTTATTCATTTAGCTGACATTTTTATCCAAAGCGACTTACAATTGCTATACTGCCCTACAAAGCAAAAAGGCAGTAACTGCAGTTTTGATAAAGCATTAATTATTACAATTTTCATGACTTTCAAGGCATCCTTTGTTATATGACAAAACATCTTATCTTAAATGCGTGTCGTTTTAGATAAAAATGGTAGTCGTTTGTACAGTAACTGCAAAAAGCCCTAGCAAAAGTCATTTTTCTCAGTTCTGCACTCTGCGTAGTTACTGCCTTTTTGCTTTGTAGGGCAGTATATATGTCAGAGGTCGCACGCCTCTGGAGCAACTAGGGGTTAAGTGTCTTGCTCAGGGACAGATTGGTGTCTCACAGTGGATTCGAACCCAGGTCTCTCACACCAAAGGCATGTGTCTTATCCACTGCGCCATCATCACCACCTTTTTTGTATTTTGTATTTCCTTGTTTCTGGGGGGGAAAAATACAATTACCATATATTATGAATGATTGTGTTGGAGGAGTTCTGTATATTACACTTGTTATAGACTTACGAGGATTCATGCCCTATTATAGACTTAAAGTATAGATTTAGCTATTAAGTCACTCATTCATCTCATTTTATGTAGATACCAAAGAGTTCTCCAATCCATCTGAACACCAGTCAGTTTGGTGCCTTCGTTCCACAGGTCAGTGTATGGACAGCTCATGACATTGAATTGAAAAAATATTTTGTTTAATGCCAACCATGACTATGTTTGCATTTACTGACCAGTCATGAATCTCATGTCTATTTACTCGTCTGTTCCATGTTATTTTCATGTAAAATCAAGTTGTTATCCAGAAGAATAATGTGCTTTCTTTACAAATGATTTGTTCAGCTACGCACATTGTATCCCGACATGGAGATGCAGGTGCTGTTGTACGCCAGTGAGACGCCTCTGTTCTCCTTCAGTTCAGGGGTGATAGAGATTCATGTGCCGGCTAAAGCAAAGTTCTCCGCTGTTAAACCTGACGCTACGCTGGTGCCTCTCTTCACACTGGATGTGGTGAGTTTCATGTTTGGATACACAAATTACGCACAAAAACATTGTATAATCAAAAAAGGGAAGAGGAGCTCTCACACTTTAACACTAAAATTGCATTAAACATGGAGGCAAGGCCTTTTATAAGCTGTAAAGTACACACTACAGACCTTGTGTTCACCAAATGTATTGATGAAAAAGGAAACAGTAATTCCTCTTATAATTACCTTCAGCGTTCCTCTGTCCCTCCTCCTGCAGGACACCAGCTTCGGTGGAAGTGCTCAGATTGACAAAAACCTGACTGGAGCTTTCCAAATGAAAAAGTGAGTTTCATTGATATTTGTCCTATTTGAACAATTTATTGAGAACATACTGCATAGCTTCTTGGGATAATAGGGTACTGTAAAAAAATATTTTCATGATTTGTAATCACAACATTTTTTCTTTTGTCAAATTAACTTAGATAATTTGTGTAGTTCAGATAACATAATATTTTGAGTTTCTGGTGATTAAATTAATCTCCTTCATTGTATTAACTCAATTTTTCCATTTCAATGAACTTAAAAAAAAAATTTTAAGTAAAAAAATTTTTTCTTCATATTTTATTTTTTTATTCTATCTTTTGATTTCTCTCTCTCTCTCATATCACTGTAAAAAATAATAATAAATTATAATAATTTATTTAGTTGAGATAACTTATTATTTTGAGTTTCTGATGGTTAGATTAATCTACTTCATTGTATTAACTCACTTTTTCCAGTTCAATGAACTTAAAATTTTAAGGCAACCAGGTTACTTACTTTTTTAAGTTAAACCATCAATATTTTTTTTTTTACATAAGCAGTATATATATTATATATATATATATTAGGGCTGTGCAAAAATTAATTGCGATTAATCGCATCCAAAATAAAAGTCTGTGTTTACATAATATATTTGCGTGTGCTGTATATAATTATTTTGTATGTATAAATACACACACATGCATGTATATATTTAAGAAAATGTGTTATTCATATATAAAATATTTATATTTATATAATATAGATTATGTATTTATAAATATATACAGAATTTAAGCGCAAATAATTCTTAAATATATACATGCATGCATAGGTATTTATATATACAAAATAATTATATACAGCACACACAAAATATTATGTAAACGCAGACTTTTATTTTGGATGTGATTAATCGCAATTAACTTTTGCACAGCCCTAATATATATATATATTACCAAAATGTAATTTTGTTAAAATATACTGCATCATTCTTAGCACTGATGATAATATATATATAATGTATATATATTTTAACATGGTAACTGGATAACCCTTATTTCTATGTTTTCCTTTCGATTAGAATGCTAGACATTTAATTAAATTCAGCATGATTACTTTATCAGTTGTCATGATTAAATAATCTGCGTATTTATTGAATAGTCTTGCACTGATGTATTCATCTCTATTACATAATAAAGTACAAAATGAGTTGATGAGCTTTTTCAGCAAAATCTCAAACTTACACAAAAATAAACTTTCAACATTTAGTAACTAAACATTTGGATATCTAAAAAGAAAAAGTGTATATTGTCTGAAAGTCTCCATCTTTTTCCTTGAATGCTGCATCAAGTTTTACGCTGGCTCTCGGATCATCTGAGATTGGTGATTTTAAGGTGAGACCAGACTGTGATGATTCATGTCAAATATGAACTTCAGTAGATCAGCATTATGAGATGTTTTATCTTCGTCTAATCATTCAATGTACAGACGGACTCACTCGAGCAAATGGCAGTGGTGGCAGTGAAGATGTTTGTACTTCCAAAACTAAATGGTAAAAAACTCTTAATTCTGCAATATTGCAACTCGCAAACAAAAAAGCAAGTTCTGAAAACTATAGACTTTGCAAAAAGTCTGGTAACTGATAATTAACACGTTATTCTACTTTGCATTTTAGCGGTCCTGAAGGCTGGCTTTCTCTTACCCACACTGCAAGGCTTTAGCTTGATCAATTCTCAATTGCTTATAAAAAATGTGAGTACTATTGAATGTTTGTATTCTGAAATGTATGGGGTTTGGATTTTGTTTGATATTGCAAAATTGTTGGAAAACACAGTTATACAGTCTGCATTTGTTTGTGACTTTTTTCAGGGCTTTGTGGCCATGTTTACTGATGTCCAGGACTCCTCGAAGCTCCTCACATGAACTGCACAGAATAACACATAACTGTACAACTGCAGAATTATTTTCAGTGTAAGAATTATAAAAGCATTACGTGAAATGACCATTTATACAAGTTGATCAAATTTGACCATGCTGTTTTTCCACACAATATTATGTACACACTTTTTTGCCACTCATCCATGTAAAATGTATATTGGGTTTAATGTACAGAGTATTTAGTACAGTTTACTGTGAAAAAAAGAAAGTACTAATAATCCCTATAATAACCTGGCTTGCATGGAAGGCTGGCACGATGTCTTTTATCTATGAGCTAGAGTTTGTGTGAAAGCTTATTAACCCTTTAGGCACCAGAGTTTTTTTCCCAAAACGTTCGATTTTGACATCTTAATTTCAAAATACTATATCTTAAAAGTGATATAAGATAGAGACTTTCTCAAAATTAGAGAAATATTAAGGATGGCCCAAAGTTTATGTAGGGATTACATTTTCCCATCTAATTTGCATATTTTGAATGTTGGCGACAGTCTTGGATTATAGAATTTTCATGAAAAGTCACATGTTTAAATGATAAAATGCAGCACTTCTTTCTCCCCAAAATGTCCAATACTGAATGCTCAGGTATATAGTAAGTAGTAAACAAACTGTGTAAATCATTACTAATAAATGGTAGAAACAAACCGAATGCATGTAGATTGGCCTTTTACAGTAGAGATTTTCTAATACAATAGGCACTCTGATTCCATGTATGGGGCACATCAATATTAATTATATGACACACAAACACAAGTAGACAAAACCTGTTTAGTTCAAAAGATCACTCGCCACGGCAAGGCACAGATGATGAGTGAGATGATGCAAACTGCGCGGCCAGATCTGCCTCGAGCGAGCGCACACTGTCATTGTCATTGCGACTCCCCACGTCGCCCCCTGACTGTCCTATGAATACTTCGACCTCGTCTAACATACCCAGTGGCATTAGACAAAGTCTCCACCACAATACCGTCGCCGAGATCGCGGAGAGGCTCTGATAAAATGGCTCACTCTCACACTTGCTCCGCTTTTGATCGCACTAATTCAATGCGCTCTAACTCCAAGATTCTGTACGTTATTTTGAGTCAGGGATGAAGTATGTCATGTCTGCCATCTAGTGGAGGGGAGGTTGAATGAAATTTGACACCCAATTTGACAAAATTGGCCGTTTTATTCAGTGCCGCATCTTGTTGTGTAAACTCGGCCGTGGCGCATAGAGGGTTAAGGCGAGTCAGCGAAAGTGGCCCTTCAAAAACAGAATTGGACACCTCCGTTTTAACAAGAGCCTGGAAGGCAGCCGGGGCATTGGACAGGCCAAAGGGCAGTGCCTTGTGGGAGTGTAAAAGGGCCCCTATTATGCTCATTTAGAGGTTAATTAATTGTAAATTAAATTTTCTTGCAATATATATTGTTGCAGTATCTGCTTTCACTTTGCTTTAGTTTCAGTTTCTTATAAAACCTCTCGTCCAAAAAGCCCAGTCTGTTGTCATTGGTCAGCCGGCTCCAGTCTGTTGTCATTGGTCTACTGCTTAGAGCGGGTTTCGGAAATGTAACGTCCCTTCCCATAACCTGTGAGTCCAGAGGCACTTTAAATACTGCTCACTCATGCTAATAATGGTGTATCAGTTTGAGTCCGATAATGACAGAACAACAAACTTGTCGACCCAAACCACCTTCCCAAGCATGACTTGTCCAGGACGTTTGTAGAGAGCATGAGTGACCATACTCTGATCTGGCCCTGTCTCCAGCTGTCTTTCGATGACCAACAGAAGTGCCAACATGTCCTGAGGGTGAGACCGTGGCATCAAGGTGGACAGTCCTTGGTTTGTAAGTTCCACAGGCTGTAGTCGCATGAAACACTAAAATGTAAAAATGCTGCAAGTAATTCTAGTTATTTTGACCATCTGCATCCATTCAGCCACACACCCTCTCCCCCCCGAAACTCTGCTCTCTAACCTGCTGATGGTGGTGTTGCCAATCACACAGTCCTGCCAGTTCCTCTCTACTTGAAGTGTCCTCAAATGTCATCTCTCTGAAAATGAACAAGCCACACGACTCTTCATAGAGTCCCTTCACAACCTCACAGCTGACTCAACTTCTGATGATAACACGTCAAACATTTATTATCCCGATGGAACATCATTCTGAAACCCTATCTAAACCGTCACGCCACAAAAGCTTGAGGCTGTCGACAAATCCATCTTGAAAGTAGCAGTAATCAAAAAAAAATTGCATCAGATACAAAGTCAGTTTCATCTACGCAGTCCATTATTTTTTTAATGTTTTTTATTATATTATCAGTAGCCAACATGAACCTTTTCTTAACTATAGTAAATGTGCCTGATAAACAGTTTCGGCAGCCAGAAGAACTCATGCACAAAAGTCAAAAGCTCAACTGAAGGACACACTAATCAGCATAATGGTGATTATGAACTTCAAATGAACCATTCAACATATATATACAATTCAAATGTGGAAAACAGAAGCTCAAGGGCCATCAAGTCAATTGATCTGTACTTATATTACACTTTATACAATACAAATTGTTTCAATGCAGCTTTAAAGTGATAAAACAATAGAATAATGATTCAGAGATGCATTCTGTTGTTAAGCAGCACCAAAAAGAAAATAGTGTCTTTGTTTATCTGAAATCAGTTCAATGTTCATTCAATGTTCGTTCATTCAATTATGAAATTAGTTCAATTCATCTATAAAACAGTTCATGAGAAAACATTGGTCATCATTCAGCAGTTCAGATCAGCTCAAGTTTACTTCTGATCCAATAGTATAAGTGCAGTCAAATCAATAAAATTGCTAAATATATACTGTCGCCAAGTAAGCAAGTCAGACAGTGACAAGGAATAAATCAATAAAGCACATTGACGCTTCTGCAAGTACCAGTTCAGTTTAGTTCAACAGAGTTTAGTTCAAACTGGAACTGAACACACCTCAATCAACTACATTGTAAATCTGAATAAGTTGACAAAACGTCTCAGGTTACGTATGTAAGACTGGAAAAACTGGAAGACCTGGAAGAAAGAGCTACTCTCTGAGAGAACAAAGGTATTTAAAAAATGTTTAATATTTTTTAAAACATTTTTTAAAACATTTTTTAACTGAACTCTTTCTGGTGCACCATTCTCACCTCAGAATCATTCTAATCTACATCTCTTTCCCTCGACCCAACTCTCTCTCTCTCTCTCTCTCTCTCTCTCTCTCTCACACGCTGTGATCACCTGAAATTCAGCAAAGAAATGCAACAAGCGAATCAACGCGTTTTGTAACTCAAAATTTGCCTGTGATGCAGAGTGGATGCCGGCACTCCACATCATGTATTTCTAAATGTTGGGTCTAACCTACATCTTTTACTCATTTGATGTTATTGTATTGATTATCTTTGAATTGATTATGAAATTGACATGATGCGTTTACCTGACATAATAAATTGTAAACATTTGATTTTATTATAACTAGCGTTGATATTATTTTCAGTAAAGAGTTAATAAGAATAGTCAAACATTCGCTCACATTTCATCGCATCACATCAGTGACTCCCGGACGAAGGCTTGTATGCCGAAACGCGTCGGAGTGTTTTTAATGTTGATTATGACCAAGCCATAGTAATAAAGGCTCTTTAACTTTTCTAAAGAGAGTGCCTTGGATGTTCCTGTTTATTTTTATAAGTTTTTTCCTATCCAAAGAGCACCTCAAACTTATACACTTGAGTCCAGGAAGCGCTTCTCTACAGACATTTGTTTATTCGCTCACATTTAATGATGCCCAGATATCATTAAAAGCTTTTCATTTATGAAGTCAGATGTAATAACGAGATAATACTGAGAAAATGTAATTCATTTAATCAAATTACTTTGCCACGCGTAAACACAGTAACATGCAGAGACCTTCACCCACTAATCAAATGCCGCCATTGGGTCTATCGGATTGGGCTTTACATGGATGTAACCCTGGTTCCCTGAAGAGGGATCGAGACGCTGCGTTGAGACGCTGTGGGAATGCCCCTGCGTGATAGCGTCATGAAGCACGTTCGAAATCAGTCCAATCAGTCCACCAGCTTCTGATAGGCTAAAGCAAGTCGATCACGGGCATGCAGGGAGGATGACAGAGTGATGCAGCATCTCATTCCCTCTCCAGGGAACCCAGATTACATCCCTGAAGACGTTCCCTTTCAAGGGAACTCGAGCTGCGTCGAGACGCTGTTGGAACACTATACCCACGACGCCATAATAACCAATCCCTGTCTGTGTTAAATCATTACGCACACTAAGAAACAAGCACCCTAGACTCTGGAGTGGAGCCTTGATCCAAGTTATAAAACCTCACAAATGTATGCGGTGAGGACCAGCCTGCCACGTCACAAATGTCATGAAGGGAGACACCCGAAAATAAAGCTTTTGAATCAGCCAAACTCCTGGTAGATTGGGCCTGGACAGCCATAGGTGAAAACTGACCAGACGCTTAATAAGCAAGCGTAACAGCCTCAACCACCGGCTTGCTCATTCTCTGCTTAGATGCAGTGTACCCTTTTCTAGGAGACCCGAAAAAGACAAAGAGTTCATCTCTCGGCTCAGGACAGGTCTGTGGACATAAGCATCCAAAGCTCTAACAGGGCATAGCAGATTAAGTTTGTCCTAATCTGATGATAAGAAAGGTGGAGGACAGAAGGCCAGCAGCATAATGGGACCCACAACAGGCTTTCACCACACCAGGTGCAAATTCTAGGTATGAAAGAGCAAACTGGTATCATGATATTTCAAGAATATTTGCGATAAAGATATTTAAGACAATATAGAAAAAGAAATGTAGACCATTTTTAATTACATTTATCTCACCTAAATGTTTGCTCACTCATTGTGTTTTTACAATTGGGTAATTTTGCTGTTAAGAGCTTAGCTTACATAACACAAGGAAGTTTGATTTCAATATTTGAATTAAATTGAAAAAAGTATCAAAATATAATGCCCCTTTTTACAATTTGTAAAATAAGTCTCTGTTGTCCCCAGAGTGTGTATGTGAAGTTTTAAACCCAGAACACACCAAGCCGACGGTCGGCCGCCTGGCAGATTTTATGCGTCGGCCAACTAAGTTTCCTCGGTGTGATGCGCGCGGTTCCGTGCCGTTGGCTGAAAATAGTCCTCGTCGGTTTTATTTCGCCCGATTCAACATGATGAATCGGCGTCGGGCCGTTGGGGAAAGAGAGAACTCTGATTGGCTGTTCAGCTTAATGAAAGAGTCAGTGCACGAGAATAAATGCAAAAGCAAGCAAGAAGTCAAAACGGTAAAGATAGAAGGCTGTTCTTATGTTACGTCTTCTTACCCGAGTGTTCATTGCCGAATATTTCAATATTAACATGAGTGGAGTGGAATAAAGAAAGTGTTTAGCAGGATTGATTTTCAAAATGGTAAGCACGCGCTGCTTTGTTTACGTTATGTGTATCTGCAGCCGGCAGCGTTGGTTTTCCTCTGAATGACGAATATAGACTAATATATCTGCAGAAATAGACAGTTGGCTCATTGCACGCAGGCGCAGAACACACATTATAGCTGACAGTCGCCTGTAGTTCTCTCGGTGTGTTCAAGTGCAGCTATTTACCTCGACGAGAGCGGACGAGAGGCGACAACACAGTTGGCTTT